GGGCCCCGACTTTTTTTAACTTTTTGGATTAAATCGATATCAGGGTCGACTATTAGGTTTTAGGGGGTGCTTTTTATGAAAATGATATCGAATTTGAGATTGGGCCCCCGGGCCCGACTTTTTTTAACTTTTTGAATTAAATCGATATCAGGGTCGACTATTAGGTTTTAGGGGGCGCTTTTTATGAAAATGATATCGAATTTGAGATTGGGCCCCCCGGGCCCCGACTTTTTTTAACTTTTTGGATTAAATCGATATCAGGGTCGACTATTAGGTTTTAGGGGGTGCTTTTTATGAAAATGATATCGAATTTGAGATTGGGCCCCCGGGCCCGACTTTTTTTAACTTTTTGGATTAAATCGATATCAGGGTCGACTATTATGTTTTAGGGGGCGCTTTTTATGAAAATGATATCGAATTTGAGATTGGGCCCCCGGGCCCCGACTTTTTTTAACTTTTTGGATTAAATCGATATCAGGGTCGACTATTAGGTTTTAGGGGGTGCTTTTTATGAAAATGATATCGAATTTGAGATTGGGCCCCCGGGCCCGACTTTTTTTAACTTTTTGATTAAATCGATATCAGGGTCGACTATTAGGTTTTGGGGGCGCTTTTTATGAAAATGATATCGAATTTGAGATTGGGCCCCCGGGCCCGACTTTTTTTAACTTTTTGAATTAAATCGATATCAGGGTCGACTATTATGTTTTGGGGGCGCTTTTTATGAAAATGATATCGAATTTGAGATTGGGCCCCCGGGCCCCGACTTTTTTTAACTTTTTGGATTAAATCGATATCAGGGTCGACTATTAGGTTTTAGGGGGCGCTTTTTATGAAAATGATATCGAATTTGAGATTGGGCCCCCGGGCCCGACTTTTTTTAACTTTTTGAATTAAATCGATATCAGGGTCGACTATTATGTTTTGGGGGCGCTTTTTATGAAAATGATATCGAATTTGAGATTGGGCCCCCGGGCCCGACTTTTTTTAACTTTTTGGATTAAATCGATATCAGGGTCGACTATTATATTTTAGGGGGCGCTTTTTATGAAAATGATATCAGATTACGAATCATTTTCATACATTTTGAGATAGTGCCCCCGGGCCCGACTTTTTGTAACCTTTCGGATTTAATCGATATCAATGTTGATTATGAGGTTTTGGGGAACACTTTTTATGAAAATGATGTCGGATTTTTTTTTTTTATAAAATCCGTCCCCTAAAACATAATAGACGGCCCTGATATCGACTAATTCCAAAAAGTGAATCCACTGGGTGCAATCTCAAATCCGACTGTATTTTCATAAAAAGCACCCCCAAAACCTAATAGTCGACCCTGATATCGATTTAATCCAAAAAGTTAAAAAAAGTCGGGGCCCGGGGGGCCCAATCTCAAATTCGATATCATTTTCATAAAAAGCACCCCCTAAAACCCAATAGTCGACCCTGATATCGATTTAATCCAAAAAGTTAAAAAAAGTCGAGGCCCGGGGGCCCAATCTCAAATTCGATATCATTTTCATAAAAAGCGCCCCCAAAACCTAATAGTCGACCCTGATATCGATTTAATTCAAAAAGTTAAAAAAAGTCGGGGCCCGGGGGGCCCAATCTCAAATTCGATATCATTTTCATAAAAAGCGCCCCCTAAAACCTAATAGTCGACCCTGATATCGATTTAATCCAAAAAGTTAAAAAAAGTCGGGGCCGGGGGGCCCAATCTCAAATTCGATATCATTTTCATAAAAAGCGCCCCCTAAAACCTAATAGTCGACCCTGATATCGATTTAATCCAAAAAGTTAAAAAAAGTCGGGGCCCGGGGGGACCAATCTCAAATTCGATATCATTTTCATAAAAAGCGGCCCCCAGAACATAATAGTCGACCCTGATATCGATTTAATTCAAAAAGTTAAAAAAAGTCGGGGCCCGGGGGGACCAATCTCAAATTCGATAGCATTTTCATAAAAAGCGTCCCCCAAAACATAATAGTCGACCCTGATATCGATTTAATTCAAAAAGTTAAAAAAAGTCGGGGCCCGGGGGGACCAATCTCAAATTCGATATCATTTTCATAAAAAGCACCCCCTAAAACCCAATAGTCGACCCTGATATCGATTTAATCCAAAAAGTTAAAAAAAGTCGAGGCCCGGGGGGCCCATTTTCAAATTCGATAGCATTTTTATAAAAAAGCGCCCCCAAAACATAATAGTCGACCCTGATATCGATTTAATTCAAAAAGTTAAAAAAAGTCGAGGCCCGGGGGGCCCATTTTCAAATTCGATATCATTTTCATAAAAAGCGCCCCCTAAAACCTAATAGTCGACCCTGATATCGATTTAATCCAAAAAGTTAAAAAAAGTCGGGGCCCGGGGGGACCAATCTCAAATTCGATATCATTTTCATAAAAAGCGCCCCCCAGAACATAATAGTCGACCCTGATATCGATTTAATTCAAAAAGTTAAAAAAAGTCGGGGCCCGGGGGGACCAATCTCAAATTCGATAGCATTTTCATAAAAAGCGTCCCCCAAAACATAATAGTCGACCCTGATATCGATTTAATTCAAAAAGTTAAAAAAAGTCGGGGCCCGGGGGGACCAATCTCAAATTCGATATCATTTTCATAAAAAGCACCCCCTAAAACCCAATAGTCGACCCTGATATCGATTTAATCCAAAAAGTTAAAAAAAGTCGAGGCCCGGGGGGCCCATTTTCAAATTCGATAGCATTTTTATAAAAAAGCGCCCCCCAAAACATAATAGTCGACCCTGATATCGATTTAATTCAAAAAGTTAAAAAAAGTCGGTGCCCGGGGGGCCCTATCTCAAATTTGATATCATTTTCATAAATAGCGCCCCCTAAAACCTAATAGTCGACCCTGATATCGATTTAATTCAAAAAGTTAAAAAAAGTCGGGGCCGGGGGGCCCTATCTCAAATTCGATATCATTTTCATAAAAAGCGCCCCCCAAAACCTATTAGTCGACCCTGATATCGATTTAATCCAAAAAGTTAAAAAAAGTCGGGGCCCGGGGGGACCAATCTCAAATTCGATATCATTTTCATAAAAAGCGCCCCCCAAAACATAATAGTCGACCCTGATATCGATTTAATTCAAAAATTTAAAAAAAGTCGGGTCCCGGGGGGAGCAATCTCAAATTCGATAACATTTTCATAAAAAGCGCCCCCCAAAACATAATAGTCGACCCTGATATCGATTTAATTCAAAAAGTTGAAAAAAGTCGGGTCCCGGGGGACCAATCTCAAATTCGATAACATTTTCATAAAAAGCGCCCCCCAAAACATAATAGTCGACCCTGATATCGATTTAATCGAAAAACTTAAAAAAAGTCGGGGCCCGGGGGGCCCATTTTCAAATTCGATAGCATTTTCATAAAAAGCGTCCCCCAAAACATAATAGTCGACCCTGATATCGATTTAATTCAAAAAGTTAAAAAAAGTCGGGGCCCGGGGGGCCCTATCTCAAATTCGATAACATTTTCATAAAAAGCGCCCCCAAAACATAATAGTCGACCCTGATATCGATTTAATTCAAAAAGTTAAAAAAAGTCGGGGCCCGGGGGGACCAATCTCAAATTCGATATCATTTTCATAAAAAGCGCCCCCCAGAACATAATAGTCGACCCTGATATCGATTTAATCGAAAAAGTTAAAAAAAGTCGGGGCCCGGGGGGCCCATTTCAAATTCGATAGCATTTTCATAAAAAGCGTCCCCCAAAACATAATAGTCGACCCTGATATCGATTTAATTCAAAAAGTTAAAAAAAGTCGGGGCCCGGGGGCCCTATCTCAAATTCGATATCATTTTCATAAAAAGCGCCCCCCAGAACATAATAGTCGACCCTGATATCGATTTAATCGAAAAACTTAAAAAAAGTCGGTGTCCGGGGGGCCCAATTTCAAATTCGATATCATTTTCATAAAAAGCGCCCCCTAAAACCTAATAGTCGACCCTGATATCGATTTAATCCAAAAAGTTAAAAAAAGTCGGGGCCCGGGGGGACCAATCTCAAATTCGATATCATTTTCATAAAAAGCGCCCCCCAGAACATAATAGTCGACCCTGATATCGATTTAATCGAAAAACTTAAAAAAAGTCGGGGCCCGGGAGGCTCATTTTCAAATTCGATAACATTTTCATAAAAAGCGCCCCCCAAAACATAATAGTCGACCCTGATATCGATTTAATTCAAAAAGTTAAAAAAAGTCGGGGCCCGGGGGGCCCTATCTCAAATTCGATATCATTTTCATAAAAAGCGCCCCCCAGAACATAATAGTCGACCCTGATATCGATTTAACCAGAAAAGTTATGAAAATTCGATGCCCGGGGGCACTATCTAAAATCCGACAGTATATTTTTATAAAAAGGGCCCCCCAAGACATGATGGTTAGTCTAATATAGATTAATGGGGGCTCGGGGTTGGTCAGGTCGAATATGGCCGCTATTATTGAAGGAAATAAAAGAAAACATTTTTACTCTTTATAATAATGACGGAGTAGTTGAAAAATAAAAAGTACTCTTTGTAGGAATTTGGCTGAGTACTTTCTGTAATTCGATATAACAGCGCGAGTATTTTCTGTACTTAACTAAATCATGATTGACGCAGCGTGAGTACACTCAGTACTCGCCGATGCCAGGCCGAGTACAGAAACTACTCGATACTTTTTCCTAATAAATTTACTCAAATCATGAAAGTAATCGAGTACTGCCCATCTCTACAATGGGGTCACCACTTCCCGATGCCTAACAGGTGAGATTCATTTGTCACAATTTCTGTACCTCAGAACATGTTTAGATAAAGAATAACTATTTCAATCAAGGCTATTTCATGAACATGAAAAATAATAAGTTATTAAGGTCACTTCATATCATGTAGTAGAAGTAAGAAAATAGAGAATAAAATTAAACAATATTTTTTATTTAAGTACTGTTTTAAAGAAAACTAATTTAAAAAAAGATAAAAAAACAATGTAAATGGCATACCTTTATAGTGTACAATTCGCTCTGTACCTTCAATGAGTATGGATACTATGGCATTAGATCTAGGGTCAGCCCAGTAAAGTCGAGATTTTACCAAGTCTAAGGCTATACTTGATGAAGTATCGTTGACTAACAGTGAGCGGTCAGTACCATCCATACCAGCCTTGTAAATACCACCAACAGAATTCCAGAACATCAATCTGAATAAAAATGATGTAGGGTACACATGAACACATTTTTTAAAAAGTAAACAATTCAAAAGCTACAAAACTCATTGCCAAGGCCCAGATTTTTATGCAATTGCATATTTTGTTTGGTTTATTTTTTTAACTGCTGATTAAATATCTATACGAATTAGTACACTGTGATGCAATTAGCCAAATTTTATTTCCCATATTGGGAATAAATGCATATAATTGCATTTTTGAAGATAAATGTGTACATTAATTAATTTAATGAAATAAAAAAAATGTATCCATGTAAATGAATATTTATTTATTTATATATACACATTAAAATGCAATATTGAAGATGCTATTTTTAAGATTACAATCGTAGGTTTATTTTCAATGAACGAAATCTACCACATTTGTAGACTGTATACCTACCATCCAATTTACCCTTTAATAATTCAATTTATAGATGTTCTTCAACTCCTAGAAATCCATTTCCCCTTCTTGTCACACGTAAACATCTTACTAAGTGTCTATTTTAGTTTGTTGCCTATGTTCTTAATGAGAGATGATATTTCTGTTCATTTAAAATGGCTAAAGTATCTTCATAATTTTCATCAATGTTGAAATATTGGATTGAACCTTAAAACAACAGACATGAAATTGTTTTACAAGAGATGGAAAACCAGTGGTACCAGGCCAAGTGGATGAAACTTTAAATGAAAAATGGAAATGAATGAAACTGAATAATTCCACTGATGGGTCCAGGAGCTATAAGAATCTTTTGTGAGCCTAGTCTGGCTAGTTCATCCGCCATCTCATTACCATGTATTCCTGAGTGACCCGGAACCCATTCGATGTTTACCTTATTAAGTCTGGATAAGTCATTGAGAATTCTCACACAATCCTCAACAGCCTTAGATCTAGTTTTATAGTTGTCCAGTGCTCGTATAGTCGCTTGACTCGGTATATATTGAAGTTCTAGTCCAAACTAACACGTCAAGCAACATTTTTGAGGCACAGTGAGTTATTGCCAGTATTTCAGATTGGAACACTGTTGCATAATTTCCAAGTGGTATTGACTTGCCTGCCTCTGGTTTATCCTTTCTCCAAAAACCATCACCAGATCCGCATGTCATAAGTGACCCATCAGTATAACAATTCATCCCATTGATGGGTTTGTGTTTTCCTGAGCTGTCTATTTTTACATTATACATCTTTGTAAGAAATTCTCTGATTTGAGTGTCAGAATTCACTGTGAGCAACCTGTCTGCCTCAATTTTTTTAATTATTTCCCCATGTCCCTCCAAGGTGTTGGATATTTTATAAAAGGTTGGATATTTCACAGAAGGAAATTTAGCAATGTTTCAGGTAGTTAATTTTAAAACTGAACACGTCTGCAAAGTAGGCTAATTCAAATGTTTTATCTATTATATGTTATTTATTACACAATTTGTTAATTATTTTATTGTTTCAACAAAGACTCGTGTTAGATTTTTATCCATTTACATACAAAATTTTAAAGCTTTTACATTATTATTGTTCAACATTTATTATCATTTATTCTTCTTCTTCTTTCTTCTTCTTTGTCTTCCTCTTATGCCATTAATTAGCGTCGAGGAGCCTCAACCAGTGCAACCACTCTTCCCGGTCCGTGCTTAGTCGCTTCATCTCATTAAGGGTTTTGCCTCTTTTACATCCAATCATTTATTACTATCAAATAATAAGTACCAGTTACTGTATTATTCATGTTTTTTATTGCATATTTAGCTTCATATTTAAGGGTTTTCACTGCATATTATAAGGCATATTATGTGTTTTTTTACTGCATAAAAATCTAGGCCTTGCCCATTACTAATACATAAAAAAAAAAAAATTCTGACAGCTGTTATGTTGTGATTTACTGATTTTAATTTTTCGATTTTGATAAATAATGACAATTTTTTAATTATTGTTCTAATCATTTACAATTTCAAAACACAAATCTTACTGGAGGTCTAGTGATTAAAATTGATATAATATACCGTTTTATTTCACAATATAGTAATTAACACAGCTAAAAATTTAATAAACAAGGCAAAATTAATAACAGATCAAAATCATATAAAAGAAATCAAAGCACAAATATATAAAATTCTATTAGAAAATTGGTACCCTTTTCGATTAATAAATAAATTATGGTATAAAAATAAAAAGTTAGTTATAAATGACAGTAGTAACAAACAGATTATTGATATTAGCGGGAAAGTGAATCAAAATATTAAAATTAATAAAGAACTGAATTTAATAACAAATTATTTTAAAACTGAAAATGCAGTTAAACAAAAACCTTCCATGAATGATATACATGACATTAAGACACAAATTGAAAAATATAATGAAAACAAACAACAACCTAAAAAATATTTTAGCGTCTCATATATTAGAAACTTAATTGATAAAATTGAAACAACATTTAAACCATCACAAACCTTGAAGAATGGTGTCAAAAATGGAGAATAAAAATAAATTCCAATAAATCCCATCAAATCACCTTTACCCTTCGTCGTAAACCTATGTCCTCTCGTCCTACAGTATCCTTTAATAATACCCCACTTATCCCTGTTGAACAAATTCGATACCTTGGACTCCACTTAGACAAACGTCTAACTTGTAATCCTCATACCAGACTGAAACGACAAGAAACAGCTCGACGTTTCCGACTACTCCAGCACTTACTAGATAAACGCTCTAACCTCCCAGTCAATTACAAAAGACTCATATACATGACTACAATAAGACCTATTTGGACTCACGGAGTTGAGCTCTGGGGCTCCACTAAGCCATCGAATTCCTCTCGTATTCAAACCTTACAATCCAAAATCCTTCGTAAAATCCTCACTGCTCCTTACTTTGTCACAAACAAAATCATCCATAACGACCTTAATGTTCTTTATGTTTCTGACTTGGCCCAATCCAGATACCTATCCTTCCATAACAAACTTCAGAACCATCCAAACCCTCTCGTTTCTAACCTTGCTTCCTCTTCGATCCCTGACAACCCTCAGAGGCATCTGAAAAGAAGATGGCCTCGAGATCTCCTTTTGTAAATACATTTTTAGAGTGCTACCAATGGGTAGTTTCTCAACATGTGATTTCATGCTATTTTATTCCTTTGTTCACATTTACTGAATGTATTTTTACTTGTAATACAGTTGTAAATATCACCAATAAAAAAAAAAAAAAAAAAAAAAAAAAAAAAAAAAAAAAAAAAAAAAAAACATTTAAACAATATGATGTAAATTTTTTTTAAATTATTTTAATGGAATTTACAACTGTATGACATATAAAATACAATAAGTAAATGTGAAATTGAAAACATGACATGTACAACATGAAGAGAAACTACCCATTGGTAGAACTCAAATGATGTAAATGAAATTAAATTTGCAAGCAAACCAATTAATAAATTAGATACAATTTATTCGAAAACTAAAGATAAAGTACCTATCGATAAATTAACGAATATTATTTATAAAATAAATTGTAAAAATTGCAACAACAAATCATATTTTGGACAGACATCACAATAGTTTGAAAAAAGGCTTAAACAGCATAAACAAAATTGTAATTCAAAAATTAAATTAGCTACTGGACTTTCTCAACATACTATGCAAACTAAACATGAATTTGATTTCAAAAATGCCAAAATCCTACATAATGAAAGAAATACGAATAAACGTAGAATTAAGGAAGCAATATACATAACTAAAAACTTAAAAAACTCGGTAAATAATTATACAGATGTGGATAATATGAATACGTTTTACGCTAGTTCAATTGAAAAAATCAAAATTTGAAAAATAATAAATTATAATAAATAGTCTTCCCCTACTCCTATAAGAATAACCAGTCACTGAATAGAAATGAGATGGATGACATGTGGGTGACTCATGAACAAGGTAATTTTAACTTATTTGAATCATTTAATAGGAAAGAATTGGAGAAATAATAATGCTGTAAAATAATTAAAGGTGAACATGACAATAATAAGGAATTTTATTATGAGTAGACGCTTGCAATTCCATAAGTGAAAAGGACAGGTACATGATGGGTATTTTAGGTATATAATAAGAATCTTTATAATTTGAAATATGTTAAAGTTAATACATGATTGTAAATGAAAATTTGTTTTAGACTTTAAAATGAGATAGAATCAAAAACATCGTTATTGTGATGAGTAGTCATTAGGTTGACAAAAAATTTTAAAAATTGGTGTAAATATGGCTAATAATAAATTAACTTGAAAATTATTCATGTTTTTTATTGCATATTTAGCTTCATATTTCAGGATTTTCACTGCATATTATGTGTTTTTTTACTGCATAAAAATCTAGGCCTTGCTCATTACTAATACATAAAAAAAAAAAAATTCTGACAGCTGTTATGTTGTGATTTACTGATTTTAATTTTTCGATTCTGATAAATAATGACAATTTTTTAATTATTGTTCTAATCATTTACAATTTCAATACACAAATCTTACTGGAGGTCTAGTGATTAAAATTGATATAATATACTGTTTTATTTCACAATATAGTCCTCGGTACAGATCGCTTTTTATCAAATTATTAACATCTGCCTAAAAGTTTGAGAAAGGCTCCATTTCATAGTAACCTATAACTTTTTATCTACCAAAATTAACAGGAATGGGGCATTCTTTCTTTCAAATTAATTAATTTAATGAGATACTAAAAAAAAATTCAATTTAATGAGGTACTTAAAAAAAATGAACATAAGGACATCGTTCTTAAGATACCATTATCATTTATCAAAAATATGTCCAAAAATATAATTTTACCATCCGTTTTCGTGGACGATGTGGATCAAGAATGAAAATAGTAGCCAATGAATTTTGAATTTTGCATCAAACCACCCTATACATGTCAAGGTTAACATTTTAAGCAATTATATTTTTAAAAGCATAAGCCTAACTGGTTTAATACTTAAACTGTATGAAGAGAAGCATTTTTACTATTTTTGAAAGT